TGGGGAGCTCAGAGGCAGCAGGCAAGCCAACGGTGCCTCTGTGCACCCAAAAGCAAGGTCCCTGGCAGGACGGGCTCCCAGCAGAGAGGGTGCAAGCACACCTTCCCCTTTAAGACGCTGGTTCTCCATGCCAGCGCCTGACCTCGGCATCCTCAGCTGAGCTGGATTAACGGGGGGAAGGGGCCGGCAGAGGGGACTGGGGCTGCCGCCTTCCCGGGGCTCCCTGCACTTGCAGCACGGTGGGCATGGCCCTTGGGGCTCCGTGGGGTCCAGCACTGGGGTGGCACGTGTAGGCACAGACAGTGCTGCCTCTGCCCCAGTGTCTGGAGTGGGGGTCCCCACACCACCCCAGGGATGATGGGGACAGCCGGGAAGGAGCGGGTGGTAAGGCTGGCGGCTGTGCTGGGGGTCAGAGCACGCTGGGGAGGCTTTTAGCCAGGCTGCACTGGGAATCACCCGCCGCCATGAAAGACTTCACTGAAATCACGCTTTGCCCCGAGGCTCTGGACCACAGCAAGGTAGGGCTGGGGGTGGGTTTGCCCCTTGGAGGGTCCCTGCCTGGACACCCACGGGTCCCTGCAGTGTGCTCCCCACGGTGCTACCCCTGCTCACTCTCCGGCAGACAGAGTTCTGCAACCCCGTCTTCACCAAGCACCCCCCAGATGAGGACGGGACCAGCCCTGCATCGCCCCAGGATGGCCTCGGTACCCACCTGGGGGTTTGTCCATGGGGTGACCAGGAGCAGCCACGGGTCTGGGAGCAGGGTGGTAGGGCAAGCTCCTGCAAGGCTTTGGGGGCACTTAGGGGACCCACTAGCACCCCAGGGACAAAAGGTTGGGACGTGCCCATCTGGGGCTCAGCTGGCCATGCAGGGAGGTGGCAGGGTGGGAGTATGGCTAGCAGCACCCCGGCTCTGCCCGCTTTCCTTGCACTCCCACAGGCCGGCAGCTCTGGGGCCAGGTGGGCTGGAGGTACCGTGCTGACTTCAAGTTCACCTGGCTCTGCGTGGCTCTGATGAGCACCATCCTCCTCTTCCTCATCGCCCTCCTGCTGGGCATCGTCATCCACCGTGAGTTCCCGAGCAGGGAGGGCTGGGGGACAGGCTGAGACTGTGGGGTGGGTGACACAGAAGTGGCTCAGAGGGGAAGAGGGGCACAGGAGGGGGCATGCATCCTACACAGGACATCCCAGGGTCTGCCTGTCATGGGGAGGCAGTGTCCCCATGCACAGGAGCAAGGGGGATCTCCACCTCCCCGAGATGTGGCAAAGTCACTGGGCCCTATGAGAGCTGTGTGGGATCCCCCGGGACCTGCGCACGTGTGGGGCAGGGCGGGAGCACAGGACATGGGGCTGGGTGGGCTTCCTCAGCCCCTTCCCTGCACTGCAGCCATTTCTCCCTGCTGGGGCTGAGCTGTCCCTGCTTTTCCCCGAGCACAGAGCTGACAACCCCACAGCCACCCGGCGCCCCAGCTGCAGCCCTGCCTGCCCGTGGCACTGCCA